GCAATCTAAAGTAGAATAAAATTTATAAGTCCAAAAATCAGTTTCGCCTAGTCTCAAGAAAATAGTAGGTTTCAAAACAATAACATTAATCTTGAATTTGTTAAAGAGATTCTGCAATGTTAGACTATCTATAAAAGGGTCAATTCTGATCCTATGAAGACCAGAGAGACTCAGTGCGTTGTTTTCAGTTGGATTGAACTTTTAGGGCAAGGAAAAAAGAAAAAGATATATGTAAGAGCTGCACCTGCCATTTCAAGGTTGTCTCATGCTGATGTCTCACAATGTCTCACAACCAGTCTATGACTGAGCACTGATCCAAGGTCTTCCTCCTTATTTGAGTGACCTTACCCTTTAGAACAGAATTTTTTATCACCTCAGTGCATGACCTTAAAGCAGACGTATCTAATGCTGCTACTCCAATGTCACCATGACTACTGTCATTAGCATTTAGTACCTGCTTTGCATTCACTATGGGGACAGCCGCGTGTGACTGCACAAGCAGAAGTGTACCCCCTCTTCTTGCTTTTGCATGTCTTTTGTCTTAAGCCACGCAGCAGACTTAACAATTTAGCTTTTTTATCTACTTCCTAAATCGTATGCAATAGCCTATTGCTGTTGAGCATTCAGCTCTGGATTTCTGATATTTTGGACAGCCTCTTCTAAATAAATAAAATCAAAGGGGAATGGTAGGTTTAAGCTGACTGATAATCCTTCAGTATTGAAGCATGTGTGATTTTACAGAAAGGAATTTATTTTTTGCCTATCTAAATCCACTTTTAGAGTAATTCCAACAGTCACTATTTATATGACTCAAACATCCAGGCTGAGTTTTAGCTGGGCAGTAAAAGGAGATATTTTTTTTTAGTGCTGGAGCCGTGTTTGAGCAAAGTTGGAGGAAAATGCAAACCAACTGTCAACATGATAAAGCCACACACAGTAATACAGTTTCTTGAAATCTTGGTAACATAGAAACATTGACAATGGAAAAATCAGACATTGGTGCTGGCTTTGTAACATATGGCAGTCCATGCAGTTATAACTATCCTGGTGCAGTGGGAGGTTGGAAATGAGCTCACCAGGCTCCATTCCTTCTTAACTCCCACCACTGAAATGTGTGAGAAATTTTCCACCAGAGACATCAGCCAAACAGAGACAGACAGATGCATATGTTGACAAATATGCTTGGAGGACAACACACGTTCACAAAACCCTTTGCTCTCACACACTCAGGATCTTCCTTTCCTTTCCTCTATGCAGACTTTGCATGATTCATGTCTTGCTTGCTTTCTTTGCTGAATTCCGCTCCTCCTGAAGCACCTTTTCCCTCCGGTGTCTGATTTATGCCTCCTTCTCTTGCTTTTCCTATTCTGGGACTCTTTTGGGGGTCATGCAGCCGTGGAGGTCACAAAGACTGGTCTTGCAAGGCCCTGTGGCTGGGAAAGGCAGGCTGGCAAGATGACCACAACAACCATACGGAGCAACCACTGCTATGTAAGGCCTTCAATATACAAATATGTACATGCACATTTCCCATCTTAATTCTGCATTAAATAACCATTTCAAGGAGACAACGAAGGAGTGTTTGTTGCATCTAAGTGAGGGCAGCTAATATTATTTTAGCTACTGCAGGATATCCAAGATGGCCGCATGGGAATGGCCCATGATGAGATAAGATACAAGGCTGCTCGGGAGAGCCTGTGCTGCTGGAGTAGCAGCAACTTGTCAGGTACCTGAGGGGTGTCCTGGCACCTTTGTTTAGACACCTGAATGGCACCCTTAGGCCTTGCAGATAAGCAACCTAATGAAGGAAAGCAGTCCTCAGCATGCTGAAGAATCGTGCTCTATGATTCTTTAAGACAGACGCTTCAGAAAACACCACTTTAAACTGATACATCACTAAGGAAACAGACAAGGAGACCAACAACAGCCCTGCTTTCATAAAGCATTAATTTCTTTTTATTTGAAAACATTATACAGGCATTACATTGCCACAGCCAGTCCATATAGGAGCATGCAAATATCAAAATGGAGAAAGGTTTGTTCAGCTTTTTGATGCAGGATTTGGGGGTTGGTATTCTGTTTGGTTGGTTTTGGTTTTGGTTCATATTTCCCTTTGTGGTGTCAAGATTAGTGTGCTTTATTATGGCATTTAACAATAAAATCCTACCCATGGGGTAAAATTCATATTTGTAGCTAGCTCAGGAATACTAAATGGTTTTAAAAAGGAAAGAAAACAATACTACACGCTTGTCAAAATGTTAATAGCACAAGTTAGCAATCTCTAAACTATACATTGAAACGTTTTCATGTGACACAGTGGTGCAAAATTTTCAATTGCTTGGTCTGTTTTTGTGTGTTTTGAAAGTTTGTAGTTGGAGCAATGACAAAGTCTGCCTCTCACTGAAGGTTTGCGTCCGGTTGCAGAAAACTACATCAGTCTTGCTAAGGGCCGCTCAGTGCCAGCAATGTAGCAGAGTCTCAGTTTGTTCCAGCAAAGATCTAGGTATAACTAGTGATGTCCTATCACAATAAGTAGAGTAGCTGCCAGTTAGATAGCTGGTGTGTACTGAGGTCTCGAATTGCAGGAAAAAAAAAAAAAGTAGACCTCACTTTTTCAATCAACAGTTACTTGTAAAGCTATACTACTATTTTCCTTTGAGGTCCATCCAGTACTAGCACGCTGGGGCTAAATGAAGTATCAACTTTTCTTTTTCTTTTTTTTTCTTATTTTTTCATTAGAGACATAATACTTAAAGCAACCCCACAGAAAGATCTCCCAGTCTTCAAAGTCTTCATGTGCAAGAATGTATTGGCTGGTTGTTGGGTGTAGAGTACAAATTGGACCACTCATGATTCATTTCCATACAATGGAGCCTTTTAAAATAACCTACAAAAATTGCTTTAGATGGCACCTCTCAGCCATCCATAGTTGCAAACCTTTGCATGCAAAAACTCCCAGATCAGGAAACTGAACCGGGCATGTCTTCTTCGAGTTGTTTCTCATAAGACATCTACAAATTAGTGTCAGAAAAATGAAAAGGAGGCGGCGAAAGGACTACAAACATTTGGCTTAAAAATAAATACTAATAATGAAGTAAACCAAAACAATTATGCAAAATAAAGGAATTGTAAACATGAAACAAACACACATAGTCCTCAAAGCTCTCAAGACCAACACAGGGACTAATGCTCAGAGAAAGGTATTTAATTGGTATAAAAGGTAGCAAAGAGACTGTGATGACAGGTGCCCATGGTGACTCCAGGAATCTGAGAGACCCGTTATATTTGTAGCCAGAGCCCATGCTCCTCGGAGAAGGTACCAAAACCAGCTTCAAGTTGAAATCATCACAGGGCTTGACTTGAGGATGTTTGCTGGCCCTTAATGCATGAGGGCTTCACCCAACCATATATCTCCTACCTGGACTCCCACCCCTCGAGCCTTGCCCTGATGTGCCAAAGGGAGTCAAACAATTCTCCGTTCAGATTGGGAGAGGCAGTAACCCCAGGGTGGCTCTTTCTTATAGTGTCTTTTCTTTTCTTTTTTTTTTTTTTTTTTTTTTTCATTTTTTGTCCCTTTCATCCTTAGATCTTGGAAGACCCATATTCTGGAGAATATGAAATCTGGTTCTCTGGTGGGAATCAGTTTTTAACCCTCAGTGGATATAGTGAAAAAGCTTGGAAACATGAATACTACATAACATTAAAAAATCTGAAGGCAGAAAAAATAATGTAAATTTGTTATTTTCCAAAGCATGCAGTTATAACTGAAGATTTTGCAGAAGTTTTGGGCATGGTTTGACAACACTGCAGACCTTCCCCTAAGCTGCAGCAGCATCATGGCAGACATGATGGGACAGAAATTGCCTCTTTTTCTCATCCACAGGAAGAATAAGATATAACAGATATTCTGCTGTTCAATAGAATCTTAGCATTCATCACCTCATTTATATTTGTATAAAAACATCTTCCAATCTGCTTTTTCTCCTTTTCATGTTAAAGCAGAAAGGACTGTAAAAGATGAATGTTACCTCAGCAGAAATTCATCCTGCTTGGTTGAACTGTGTGGCCTTTCTAATCTCCAGAGTATGCATTTTTTTTTCTTTTTAAAATAGAAATAGGTAAGTTGCATTTTTCAAACACAAAGCCCTACATTTTCACTTGAGTCAGACTTCTTTAGCAAAATGCCTTTTAAATCAAATTCATCTCATATGCCCACAAGCAAAAAATTCATCAACCCTGTTGTAAACCCCATTTTCAAACACAATGAATGTATACACACTTCTATATCACTATTTTGTACTTAAACTCCCTTTCTCTGAAGAACTTGAAGTGTTCTAAAAGACCTTGGTCCCTTGGCACCTCTGTGAGGTAGGTAAAATAACACTATCCTCTTATATACAGGTTGGGAAACTAAGCTATACAGAAGGTATGCCCAAAATCCCACAGAGGTGTGACAAACTCTCCTGAATCCCTGTCCTATCTGTTAGACATAAGACTATCTTCCTTTCCATGACTTTAAGTCAAAAATAGATGATGGCTGTTGAAATAATGACTTCTTTTCCTTTTATCATGCTCTTGCCAAAGCACAATATTCAGGCAGGTAAGGATTTTCATGTCCGTAACTAAGATTTCCCCCATTTCTGATAAGGCTCCTGGAGCAGAGGTACAGTTGTAGAGCACACCCTTCCTACTTTCACATTTCCCCAGGAAAATAAGAAAACTGCTGAATTCTTCTGATAATTTTGTACTTAAGGAAAATTAATTGGTTACACACCATTGGCATGAATGTCTTTGTGCTACTGCAGCAATACCAGCAGAGGGTTTGATCTTTCTAGTCATGAATTACTCACATAATCTTCTTGATTTTTACAGTTTGTGGGTTTTTGTGAAAAATGGGCATGGTTTCTAAATGTCTGTTGTTAATGAACCACATGAGAATAAGTAAACTGGAACAGCAGAAGGCGCCCTTGGTGCACTGGGTATCTATGCCAAGATCCACATGCCATGTCAGCTTACCATGGAGAGGTACAATAGATAGGAAACTAGAAAAAGCATTTTTTTTTTCTTTTTACAGATTAAAATTTAAAAAGTAAGAAATCTGTATTAGTCATGATTACAGAGAAACTAACTCCCTGTCACCTGACGCAGAACCTCAGCCTCTAGGAAATCTGTCATGGAACACAGAAAGGTCAATGCTGGAGTACTTCATTTCTGCAAATATAGAAAGACTAAAATGCTCGCCTTATACCTATTCCTAGAATAGAGACGGATATTGTAAGTTGTCCCTCCTCTGGATTCATGGAACAGATTACCTAGAAGGGGCAACTAGAGAGATAGCACAGATGAACTAATTATCTTTTCCTAATCAAATACAAGGTGCTAGCAAAAATGTGTCAGGGTGTTTTTACCATGAGTAACCACCTATTTTGTGCAAACCAAACAAATCTTACAGAGAAATCAACAGTGACTGCACAATTATATTTACACTAAACAAGTTGTTTTTCCACAAATTGTGTGGTTTAGGCGTAATATCGCTCAATAGGTGCAAAAACACCCTTTATGATCTTTCCTTCTTGCAAATTCAGCCTTTATTTCGAGTATCTTTTGCAGGTAGTTTGGCATTTAGTGATCCATGTACAGCAGTTTGTGTTGCAAACATGCTGTTAATGCCATAAATGTGGGACTGGCATCTCCTTGCAATGAACACCCTGGAACAATTAATTATGAGCTTTCCTTATTTGCTACCTTGCAGCTCACCAGTGTAACTGCACCTGGTAAATACCTTTCTCTATGTACAATACAGAGATAATGGATATACGAGCTCCACTAAATCATCAGTAGGTGACCAACAGCCTGGGGTTTAAGCAACTCTAACGTGAGGCTCCTCTTCTGTCTCCTGCCCGAGGCTGGTGTATGTTACTGAAGGCTCCAGCTGGCCGGAGGCTGGCAGGTCCACAACAGGTCCTGAAGGATTTCGAAACTGCTTGTACACCCGAGGATCCTGGGCTACGTAGGTGGAAGTGGAGGAGTAGAGCACCAGCCCAACAAGGATAGTGAAGAATGACAACAAGTAAAGTCCTGAAAACTAAACAGAAATAGGGGTAAAGTCATTAAAAACAGCATTACTTATCCCGAGCTCATGAAGACCTGCAGACAGAGGTAGACACAGACCCTTGTTTTTGCACATAGAGCACAGAACAAGTCTCCTGGGATGTCAGTTTTTTATGGGGTTCTCTCTTTGAAAGAGAGATGTGGGCTTGGCCAGGACAAGAACTTCAGCTGTGAAACATGCTCTAGGTTGACCTCAAGAGGTTTGAATGCTCACACAGCAGGTAGTTCACTGAAAGCTCAACTATGCACATTTTTGGAGACAACACCACTAGATCAGAAGTCAACTTGAATTTTCTGATATATCCAGATTCAGTGATCCTGGACTAAAAATACAACACAAACAATCCTGCAGGTAAAGGTAAAGCCAAGGAATTAAAATCACAAACCATTATATATTAACATTAGCTGCTGCGTCCTTCTATGGAGAATACAAACCAGATGACTTGTCTCTTAATCCTAGACTATAAGTTACTTTTTATTGTACGCTGTGCATGAGAAGTCCTGAAGGACAAATTGTAGAGTCAATTTGTTATGATGGGCATGTAGAACTGATTAACATTCAGTGAGAACACTTCAGTACCAGAGAGTGCCTGTGCCCTGCGGTTGTCAGGAATCCGTACGGAAACAACAACAATTAGCTGCAACCTGCTATGGGCTGCCTCGTGCAGTACTTCATTATTCCACATAAAGGGTGTCTACAAATGTGTTTTTTTAATCCTACTGATGATGGTGCTTTGATGGATGCCAAATTCATTTCCTTTGGATCATTTCAGCATGGCACAAAGTGGATATGCCTGATTATATTATTCCGGCAAAAGCTTTTCTATCAATTCTGCTTTTTATATTTAAAGAAATAATCTTTGTGGTGAATTTAATTTATGCTGTCTCTGTAGTGATGTTCATTTGCTGCCATTTAACAGACCCACACAACCTGCATCCAACTTCCCACTCAGGGAAACATTTGCCTTTTTTTACAGAAAGGATCCTCTTCCAAAAGATTTGTGAAAGTTTTGCACGCATAACCCTGAGGGAAACAGCTGTTAGTTTCCCACAGCTAGTGTGTGTGTTTCAGAGAAAAAGAATCATAATGGAGAAAGTTTAGTGTGTCAAAAGGATTACAGTGTCAGAAGAGTTCTGCTTTTCATTAAGCATTATTTGCTTTTTTTCCAAGAATGTCACAGGTCTTCTTGTGTCATCTGGCAGTATGATTTGATGTAATCATCCAGCTGTCCCACCAGCCACAAACCCAGTGTTGAATGCTGTAGCAATGAGTCTGCTGAAGGATTCCTCCCATGTGTCACAGGTCTGGAAGGACTATTTCAGGCTTAGATCTCCCCCCTGTGGCAATCAAACCCAAGTCAAACATTTCAAAGCTTTGTTCAATGTATTTTTTTTTCATTTTTTGTCAGTTTACTTTTGCTCTTAGTACTTTTCCCTTCCATATCCTCTTTGCACATGAACTTGAGTGCCGCTCGCCAGCACTGGGTTAAATTAAGCTGAAGCAAAACTCAAGTGCCAAATGCACCTAGTTTCCCAATCTGGGAATTAGTTCCTGAGTTTCCCTTTGTCCCTCCTTCCCACCTCATTCCTGAATTTCTCACCCAGCACAGCCAGCTGGCTTGCTCGACTGTATAACCAGAGTGCCAGGCAGATTGTGATTGCCTTGCATCCTGCTGTGAGGAATTTGTGAGGCTTCCAGCAGTGAAATGTGCCCTTATTCTTCCTCTGGGAGCTGCCCATTCACTTCCACTCTATTCTGTGACTCCAGCTCTTCCATATTCCCTCTGCTCAGCCATATCTCTCAGTCTTCTCTCAAGGGATTACTGGCAATGGGCTCTTCCGATTCCTAATACTCTTTCTAGGGCAGTGTGTCCCCCAGGGGCAGTTCTCCAACTTGGGAGAAAGATTTGAGGATAGCTGGTGGAAATCTAAAGGTAAGGTCCATGAATGACTGGTCTTTAGCATCTTTGCACAACCACTATAAGAATATCCTGACAGCCTTTTAACAATATCACTCTTCACACTCCCCTTGCCTAATCAGAGGCACAAGCTGGATTGTTCCCTGAAGGAACAAGCTGGAGAAGTTTTCTGCACTTCTTAGAAGTGCAATCACTACCGCTCTGCAGCCCTTAAGTAGAATGGCAGTTAATAAGGTTGCAGCCTACTTCACATAATGGACATAAACCAAGTACATACAGTAACATATATTGTAGGTATATGAGAAAAACTGTTTTTTTTTTTCATTCAACACTTTGTCAGAAAGACACTGAAATCAATGAAAATTTTCCTCCTATTAAAATGAGTGTGAATCCAGCAGTGTGATGGGCAGATGCTGACTTAGTTCATGAAATACAAAATTTGCTATTCTCTATACCATGCTGTTCAGGCTCTCTAAATGAAATCTTTGTATTTTATTGAATCTAGTATTTTCAGGCATACTCTAGTGCTATATCTACAATAAGAGATTTTTTTTTAATATCTTGACCTGAAAACCTCATTTTTTGGAATTCACTATTAATAGAAGGCAAAAGAACTTCAAAAACAGCAGAAAGAGCCATTCACAAGAAACGAAGCATGAGAAGATCATTTTCCATTGCTACCCTGTATGCAGCAGCACTTAAAAACCGTAAGGTCTTGGGAAGTCTGTAATTCCTATCATTGGCTAAAATGCTGCTTTAGAATGACACTGGGCTTCATTTCTCAAGCTTATCTTTCACCTTCTACAGAAACATATTTCTTTTAAGAAAAGCATTAAAAAATTCAGACTTGTAGATCTTTCCAAATCCCTCGTCCCTCCATGTAAACAGCTGTTCAAAAAGTAGCATGACCAGAAATTGGTTATCTCAGATTAGTTCATGTGTATCAGTAAATGGTCATGCCTTATGGAAATCAATTCAAAGATCATTTCTTGTTTATATATCATCAAGCAATTCTACTATAGATTTTGTAACTACACATATAGGTACATATAGGTAAACTTGCTCATCCTGCAGTTTCATTGAGACACCAGATGACAGGATTAAATCAATGATCTAAAATTCACAAGCCCTGGGACTGATTTTCTGCCTTTAAATAAATTTATTCTGTGTGCAAAAATCATTTTATCTGTGCCTCAGTTTCTTATCTATCTAATGGAGACAACAACACTTCTTTCTTTCTTTGCCTGATTATTCTACAAAGTATACACCAAACTGACAAGCATCACTATTCAGTACCAAGAAGAGTTTGATTCTGATCACAGCCAGAGCATTTAAGAATGACACTTCATCAAGCAATAATATTGAAATGAGCCTTGCTTTCCTTCTACAGCCAGCAAAGTCCATGCAATTTATGGTTTCCTGTATTGATGCTGTATTTACATTTTTGTAGATACAAAAATGGACATTTTCAGTATCTGCAACTAAAATAACTGACAATAAGCAACTGTTAATTTTCAGTGAATAAAAAATACAGTGCCTGTCAATTTGAAGATAAATGTGCAAAGCAAAATTTAGACAAATGTAACAAGACAGTATGTATAACATGATTTCATTAGTCTTATCGAAATCTACATTGATTTGGGGTGACTGGATGTTTCTGGTGCTTATCCAAGGAACATTCCTGGGGGAACTAGTACCTGAGTATAATCAGACGGTGAGGCTTAGTAGAAAAGTTAATAGCATCTGATAGCTTAACTGCAGGAGGAGGAGTCTAGCTCTTAGTTTTGGTATATAGCCCTGCCAGAAAACCATGGCAGGAGTGAAGTCTGGTTGGCTATGGAAAATACATGTTAAAACCAGTCCTATTTTCTGCTACCAATGCACAAATTAATTTACATTATAGAAGAACAGAACCCAAACATATTTGCAATGATTTTTTAAGTAAAATACCTTACATAATGCTACATATTATTGAAAATGAAATTCATAAAGCCTATTTGAAATTAAGGTTATATTCAGTATTTTTTCCTAGTGAATCAAAATTAAACATCTTGGAAGTTAAGTCAAACATCACAAGATTTCCAAAAGAAACAAGACATAAAACCAAGACATAAGACCAACATAAAGATATCTGAAAATTTGGATTTTTTTTTTAAATCCAGAATATTAAACCTTTCAAAAATTACTTCCCACTATCTTTTATCCCCTACATCTTATTATCTCTCCCTACAAAACTTGTCTTTCTTATACCCTTAAACCGTAATGGCTAAAATGTTACTATTATCTCCACTTGAAATTCCTGAGCATTAAAGTAATCCAGTTGAAAAACTAGGTGTAAAAGAGAGCTCTTGCTGGGGAGGAAACAGTGCATCTGATTTCATCATTCTTGAATAATGATAAGACCAAGAGAGCAGAAGAAAATGAAAGAAAGACAATAAATTCCTTTCTGGGCCTGGGGAGAGCAAGCCGTTCTTGAGTAAATAGGTCATGACTTTATAAAGAAAAAACAGAAGAAGCAACATAAAAGAATCTCTGTATCCTGGTTAGGAATGTTGCACTGACTTCTGCATAGGGAATTTGCAGACAAGTATTTCTAACTGTCACTGATGTCCACATCCATGTAACCGCTGGCACTAGGGCAAAACAATATCCAAAGTGACAAAACAGACAGATGTGAGTCTGCAGAAAAGCCCACACAGACAAAGAAACTCAATGATTTGCTAATTTTGTTTTTCGCTAAGCTATCATGATAATGAGCATGAACATTATTACAATGGTTATGAAAATGCAAATTCTCTTTTACTCAGTCCATTGAACTGGAAACAGACTGAAAGTGCAGATTTTTCAGCTGTGGCTCTCCGATTCCAATTGTATTTCACAACAGCAAGCAGTAGGCCGAGTCTGTTGGTAGATAACATGAAGAGAGGCTCCTAGCCTATGGCAACCTACCCGTGCTTTTTAAATCATGAAAAGAGACAAATTTTGCTATGCAAGAAACAGAAAATTTCATTTTATAACATAAACTGCACTGCCAGTCAAATCTAAGGCCAATACG